GTAGTGAAAAGTTGACGTTGCCCAAACAAGTGCGACCCTGAATACAAGCGACAAATGAGGCGCTTTCACCCGACAGATGAGGTAATGAGATTCAATACGTTTCCAAACCATGCGACTTGAAAAATCCTCCTTATAAAATCGAGACGAAAATGTTCAGATGACACAGCTGACTTTCCGGTGGCGGAGACAGCAACCTCAAACAGTGTCACTAAGATTCTCAATCCTGTACCAGTGTTTGAAAAACGGCAGGAGAAAACCTTAGTCTGAGCAGTCCCTCGGGTCATTCTTACAACCGACGACGCGTGAAACTTCGACCAGCCGGTCGGTTGAGCGAGTAATAGCTGTTTTTGCCTTCCCAATCAAATACTAGAATTAAAAACAATAGCATAAAAAACATTCATTGCGATTATGACCTCATTTCGTATTCAGAATGTGACAGCAGAGAAGAAATTTGGAGAGTAAATAAAAAACCAAATTTTAAAACATCAAAAAATACAGAGCATAATTTTAAAATAAAAACACCGCATCCAACATCACTACATGTGAAACATTGGTGCACCAATATAAACCACATCGACCTATCAAAAAAACATTTTATTAAAGTACAAAAAACGCCCGCAAACGACCAAGAGAAGCGTGCATTGTGGAAAAAAATTATTTGTTACCAAAGCGAACAAGAAATCCATTTCCAGCAGTCAAACAGAAAGAAAATTAAATAAACAAATAAATAACGTTGAAAGCTAAGCTATCGTTCACGAGTACCCCGAAGTGCGCTTCGATCTTCTTCGTGAACTGCACCTCATGCCTTCTTCAAATGAGTCAATGCTGGTCGATATGTCTTCCGGCGGAAGCGGTTTGCGCGGGAGCGGCAAAAACGGTGGTGGTGCAAGATCCATGTCAGAATAATAAGGAAACATCATGTTTTTGCTCAAGTTGGCTACTTCCGCATCGGAAGAATGGCTGCTGGTGTCCAAATCAGGAACGGTCAGGATACCATTGTTTGGCAGGCTCTGATCCGCGAGGACCGAACTTTCAGCCTCTCCAAGCCTTGCACGTAGATTTTTGTTTTCCAACTGCAAAGCTGTCACTTCTCGCTTGCTCCGCATCGAGCAAAGCCATGAGTCGTTCTGCGCTTTCTGTGACAACTGCCGCAATTTGCTGTTCTCTCTTTCCATCTCTTTCATCTCCTTACGCAGTTCGTTTATGATCGCGTCCGAATGCTCCTTCTCTTCTTTCAGCCTGAGAATCAGAGTTAATAAAAATTCAGTTAATCAAGAATGACAAAAAAATTTACTTGGGAGGGCTAACTGAACTTAGTCAACAAATTTTACAGACAAATTTCTAAAAAAAACATCATTAGGTCATATTTTTAGTTCCGTTCCTTGCAATGCCGATTGAAAAGACTAAGAGAACCTGCAGTGAAAAATCACTGATCTTGAAAGTACTGCTAGCTGGAGCATCTAAAAACTGTCCCTGTCAACCTAAGGGTAGAGATAAAATAAACAACATTTCACCCTTGACTGTACTATGGATAAAACAATCATGCTGCATCGTCCTCCATGAGCATCAAAAGTGGACGCATTCGAACTTTAGAAAGGTTCATTCGAAACATAGACCAATGCCTCCCCTTGCTGTAATAAATCTCCCATTGTGAAATAGATCAAACTGATTGAACATACTGTGTGCAAACACTTCTGAATCAGACCTTCGTTCTAGAAGACTTCTGCTTCAATTCACTGACAGTACGTGAAACCATTAAACGGACAGGAATATCTTAACATGCACAAATAACAACTCCATCACAGGAACAAGTTTTAGTCATTAAGTACGCTTACCTCGCCGTTAACTCTTCATATGAACCTAGCTGAGCAGAATGCTGCTGCGACATGACGATGTGCTGCCCGATCTGCTTCTGGAGCTCTACCTGGCGCGACTCGAAAAATTCTTCAAGTACCTTGAGCTTGGTCAGCGCTTCCATCGTCTGCTGTTCCGCTTGCTGCTGGGTCTGCTTCATGTTCACGTTTTCAGCGCGAAGGTCCTCTAGTTCCTTTTCCATGCGCCTCTGGTTCTCGTAGCCCTCTGACACGATTTTGCTCATACGCTCGTTTTCTGCCCTGCTCTCTTCTAAAGACGCCTCGAGGTGTGCTATGGTGTCTACGCGCGCCAGCGCGTTGTTGAGAGCGTCCTGCTCCGAGTCACTACTTATCATGCTGCCCACCTCCCACCCGCCTTCGTCACTCTTCTCCTTGTTCAGTGGCTTGTTGTTCTGACGACAACCGCTCTTGGCCAAGTACAACTTGAGACCCTTCAGTTCAAAGGCCGTTTCGGAAAGTTCCTTCTCGACAGCCGCCTTCTCCTCATTTACGGTTTTCAGATGATCCTCAAGCTGTTCCTTGCTCGCAAGGATGTCTACAATCTTTGACTTCAATGCTTCTTCTTGTTCAGAAAATTTCTGCAATTTGTTCACTGCCGATTGCAACTCCTCTTCGTTCGTTTTCTGGTTTGCCTGCATATCTTTGATCGTGTCTTTAAGCGTCGCGTTCAAAATTTCTACTTCTTTCAATTTTTCATTTGTAGCGGCATTTGTGCTGTTCATATTCTCAGCTGAAGCCAAGCGCTCCCTCAGTTTCAAAGCCTCATTATCTAAAAGATTTTTACTCTCTTTAAGAGAGGCTATCTCCTTTCTGACTGATGCCAACTCCTCCTGCTTCTTAGTCAGCTGTGTCTCCTTCTCGGCGTGATCGGTCTGTAATTTTTTTAGCTTCTCCATTGTCAGCAAAAAAGTTTCTTTCTCTGTCATAAGCAGTTGGTAATTTTTATACATGCTGCACTCGTTCTTCAGCAGTGTCTCCAACTTGGCATCTTTCCGAGCCATCATAAGGCATTCCAGAAGCATCAGCCCAAGAGAAAAAGTAGAAACGCAAAGAATGAGAAATTCGTAGGAAACGATCAGCCAAACCCGTGTTCTGTGTGGTAGTTTTTCCACAAGTCGAGTACAGACTAGTTTTGAATACGAAAAAGCAACGATTAAAACATTGCGCAAGTGATCGAGAACCAAGCGTGTCTTCGAAACCGGGGTCACATCGGCAGTTGTCTTTCTGCATGAATCTGCATAACAATAATCTTGTTTCCCAAGCTCTTCCGTTTCTTTACTGTCAGCTAACAGTGCTACACCCTCGGTTATCAGCTTATCAGTTTCCGCGTCGATGTCGAATTTCGCCTCATGAGCAGATGCGTGGCGGCTGGACACGGGAACAGAAGGATCTTCGGCATCAGAATTATGGGAAAGGTCAAGTGATTCTCGGTAAACCCCATCGCCGCCGGCCTGAGCGTAAGAATCTGGTCTAGACATGATTACGGAAGCCATCGGTGCAGCGGTGGCCCTGGGGAGCCCTGAGGAGGAAAATTTAGGAATGCCTTTTTCATTCATTGTTTGTTCTTCGACCGATTTACTTTTGTCATCGTCAGGAGAAGTTGCGGTCGTTGCAGTCAGGTCTAAGTGAGTTCTATCTTCACTTTCAAATGCGTTCTCGTTGGTCTGTCTTTCAGTGTCACTTGTCTCCAAACCACTGCTGGACTCTGAGTGGCGCTGCTCATCCACTTTCGGACTCGGCAATTCACTTTCTTCTGTAAATAGCGTACTGTGCGAATCAAAAGACTGCCTGGAAACTTCTGGTATATCCTTGTGACCGTCCTGAAATTTTCTTTCGTCTGAAGAAATGCTCGCAGCAGGTTCAGATGCGGAAGACAACCTCCTATACAAATTCACAGCTTCTTTTGATCCATCTGGTGAATGACCAGGAGGTGTAGCAGGTAGTTCAACTGATCCTGCAGCAACGGTTCCCATGATACTGGCATCATTTTCTATGTTTGGGTAAGAAGCAGAAAAGGAATCGGGTGGTGACTTCGTCACTGAAACCACAATAGGCTGAGGAGTGGAGCTGGCTGTATTATCGAAATTCGATCCCTGAGACTTTTGCAGATCTAACTGTTCCACTAAATCACTGCCTTTCGTCGTTTCCCTCTTATGAAGTCCGTCACGATCAGACAAAACTTTATTCATAGACTGTCTTAACATCGAGTTGGCTTGCTGCTCAATGGCCGCCTTCGAAATTTCATCTGGTATTGGAGAACTTCCATCGAATTCACTGAACAGGCGTTGTTTAGAATCAACATCTGAATCAACCGGTGGTGAGTCTGTCATGTGTTGCGCAGAGAGAAAAGATTCCGTCGTTCTCCATGTTTCTGCATCATCTGCACGAGTTCCTGTTTCTGTATCAAACGGAATATTTTCTTCTTTAAATCCTGCAAAGGTGTCTGCAGGGTGCTTAGCAGCTCCATGATCAATATCCTGAAATGAGTACATTAAGCGACGTTTCGAGAAATTATTTATCAACTCAAAAATGTGCTAAGGAGGTCTGCTGTAATGTTTAGTCCACCTGGCATACAAGCCGCAGGTTCAAAATGCAACTCAAACAATTATCCACTAATTCTTCCAATTTAATATCATGTTAATAAACTGGCACGTCAGTCACTATAAACTCCGCCATGGCCGGTCCCAAGCCCGGATGAGAAAGGAGGAGGGTTAGAGACCGTGGCAAGTCTCCGT